GAGGGGGGGGGGGGGGGAGGGGGGGCAGCCTGTGCGAGCGCTGCAGCATGAGCTCGCCCTGCACCTTTGCCCCCTGCCCCCCCTGCCCCCCGCTTTGACTCACTTGCGCATCGCATGCCCTTCTGACCTCAAAGATCCTAACGCAATCATCCCTGACCAAGATCAAATGTCTCAACCTCTCTCCTCTAAAGCTGTGCTGCGCGCCATCTCGATGTGTCAAGTGTAGAGCGAGGAGATGCGAAGTTCCGCTGGCTGGAAGAAGGGAGAGGTGAAGTGCTGAGAGGGACATGCTTGTGCTGGCTGCGGTGTGGGTCAGCTGAAGCTGTTGCTGCGGTGTGGGTTGGATTGATGAGGATGGTAGACTAGACTGGGCCCTTTAGCGGGGACCCAGAATGGATGAAATGGGAAGCGGGCGGGTGCAGCCAGCGAGATTGCCAATGGTATTGGGGGCGAGATGCTGGCTGGTCATCCAAAGCGAGCGAGCGAGCGAGTCACAGTCCAGAAGAAGTGAAAGTGGAAGTCAAGAGTCAAGAGTTGCATGCAAGCGCGCGCGTTCCCACACGCACACGCAGCAGTCACGTGCCCCGCACGCCCTGTGAGTCACGTGCATTGGATGCAGTCACGCACGCGGCTGCCTGATGCTCCTGCTGCTTATTTGGCGTTTGGCGCTTCGTTGCTGGCTTGTCGCGGGCGCACGCATACACGCACGCACGCATACATTTACGCACGAATCTCGCTCACGTCTCACCTCACCCACACTCACACTCACACTCACACTCACACTCACACTCACAGGCACACTCACACGCACACTCACACGCACACGCACATGCACATGCACAGCCATGGAAGATCTAGTCAATCTGGATTGGACCTCCTCATCCCCATCGCCATCGCCTTCCAAATCCCAATCGCGCTCCACTTCCAACACCGCTCCTGCTAGCACACGCACACCATCCAACTACAATTTCGACGCTCTTACGAGATCTCTACCTGTTCATACGCCTCCGCGGCAGTCGCAAGCAGGAGCAGGAGCAGGAGCAGGAGCAGGAGCAAAGGTATCCAATCACCCAACCACTCTCAACACCAACACCAACGGCTCGACCTCGACCTCGACCTCGACCTCGACCTCTGCGCGCACGCACACGCACACGCACGATGCATTCTCGAGTCTATTTCCTACGTCCAGCCTCACCTCCAGTTCAAACTCGGATGCCGCACCCGCGCTCGCACAAGGCCAAATGTGGAGCAGCAGCGGCGGCGGAGGTGCAGGAGGTGGAGGAGGTGCAGGAAGAAATACAAATGCGCCTCTGAGTATGATTCGACAACAACAGCAACAACGAGAGAGGGAGCGTGGCGGTGGCGGTGGCGCTGTTGCTGTTGCTGTTGCTGGTGGTGGATGGGGAAATGAAGAGGATTGGGAATTGTTTGGAAGTGCGAGCGGCGGGACGCGTCAGGCGGGCTCGATGAGACAAAGGTGCGTTCCTTCTTTGCCTCCCTTGCTTGCAATGTGGGCGTCGCCCCTCGCACCCTCGCGTGCAAGTTGGCGTTTCGGTGGAACAAGTCTTGAGAGGGAACGTCTTGGCGCAGAAGGTCAAATGCCGTCTGGAGTCGATGGATGGGATTGGCAGACGCTGGACCGCCCTGCCCCCGCCCCCGCCCCCGCCTTTCCTTTTGATTCTCCGTGCCATACATCACGCAGGCTCACACCAAACGCATACATTCCGCTCCCTCTCTTCACCTCATTCCACTCCAGCAGCAAATCATCCGACGATCCTTTCGGCCTCGACTTTTCCGCCCCCGCTCTCGCTCCCGCTCCAAACGTGCGCAATGCAAGCCAAGCCTCCTCCTCCTCTTCCCGTCCTCCACAAGCACACGCACAGGCATCCGCACGCGCACGCGCATCCGCAACCGCATCCTCCACTCTCGACGCCAATCCACCCGCTGCTGCATCATCCACACGTCCCACCACTTTGCAACGACAGCAAGTCGAGGGCAGCAAGAAGGAAAGAGAAGCGCCGAGCAGGGGAACATTGGCTGTGATGGACATGTTTGATTTTTCAGAGTTTGAAGATGGATCGGGGGCGCAGAGCAGCGCGTTGGGCGGCGATGGCGATGGCGATGGCGCGGGCGCGGGCGCGGGCGGGCGTGGCGTCGAGCTGCAAAGTGGGCAGGATGAGAAGGGTAGCGGCAAGAGCAAGGGAACATTTTGGATGGATGGCGATGGTGCTGGTGCGAATGCGGATGCGGGTGCGGGTGCGGATGCGGATGCGTTGGAAGACTTTTTGAGCGCAAAGCAAGAGCGCGGAGCGAAGCGCACCAGCGACGGGCTTGGAGCACGAGCACGAGGAGCACGTGGGCACGAGCACGAGCACGAGCACGAGAAGGACAGCGCAAATGCACGTGCCGTCTCCCCGCCACCTCATCTGGTAGGACAGATCGTAGAGATGGGCTTTTCACCCGCAGATGCTCGTAGAGCTTTGAAGAGCACGCAGACGGGCTTGGATGTGCAGATTGCGCTGGAAAGCCTGTTGGCTGGTAGTGTCGCTGCTGGTGCTGCTGCTGCTGCTAGTGCTCGCGATGGAAGTGCTGCTCTTGCGCGACAGACGCACGAGGAATGGAACGATGATGCGGCTTTCGATGGAGAGGCGCGACGAGCTGCTTTGCAACGGGCAAAGTGGGGCGCAAGCGGGGATGCGAGCGTGCGGTCGAGGCACGCTGCTGGAGCAAGTGCAAGTGCGCATCGACGCGTTCGAGCAGCAGCAGGAGCTGCGGTGCAGCAGCAGCAGCAGGAAGAAGAAAGCAAGGATTGGAACAAGCAGACGGAAGCTATTTATGCGCAGGCTAGCGAGTTGGGAGCTGGGTTTTTAAAGAGCGCAAACAGCTTTTGGACGAGCGCTAAAGAGGCTGCTCAGAAGGCTTATGAGGAACAGAAAGCTAGGAGCAATACGGCTTCCCCCATGCCCGTATCCGGTTCGGTGGCGCTGGATCGACGAGCCAATACGAGCGCGGATGCGCATGCCGGTGCCGGTGCGGGTGCGGGTAGAAGATTTGAAAGAGAAGAGACGAGCAAGTTTAGCGAAAAAGCCTGGAATCGACGTTGGGGAGGTAGAAAGGAAGCACAGATGGATCTGAGCGGAAAACCTAGATGGATGGTGGAAGCCGAGGCTATGCAGAGAGCTGAAGAGCAAGCAGCTACGTCGCCCGTCACGCCGGACGTTGCTGCGTCGAAGGATGCACCGACAAGCTCTTTCAAGGATTCGGATGGGGAGGAGCACGACGGAGCTGATGGCGCGTCCAATGTGCCGACCAAGAAATCGACGCGACAAGCCGCACCACAGAAGACGACGACGACGACGACGACGACGACGACTATGACGACAGAAGTGGCGGGCGATGTGGACCTTTGGGATTTACCTGCGCAACAGGCGCCTCAACAACAACTGCCCGCTGCGCGAGCGCCTAGCGCAAGCCAGCCGCGCGCACCTTATATTTCTCCAGCTCGTCGAGCTGTACGACCTTTGACGAGCAAGACGCGTTCCGCTCCTGCCGTTGGCGCCGACGCCGACGTTGCGTCTGGCACGCTGCGAAAGACGCGTAGAGCAGTGCAAGAGGAGGAGCAGAGCCGCGTGTCTGCTTCGGAAGCGTGCAGGGTGCGGGGTAATGAGGCGTATAGAAGGGGAAATTATGCAGAGGCGGAGGAGATGTATAGCAAGGCTTTGCGAGAGCTTGCACCGGCTAGTTTGAGGAGCGTGGGATTGAGGAATAATAGGGCATTGGTCAGGAGTAGGAATGGGGATGCGATGGGATGCGTGGAGGATGCGTCAATGGTTGTGCGGATCGTTTTGGAGAGATCGCTGGTGGGGCAAGAGGAGGAGCAGGAGCAGGAGCAAGAGGGAGAGATTTATAGACCTTCGATGGAAGAAGCTTTGCCTGATCCATTGGCGAGACAGATCAACCTGAGGGAAGCCTATGCCAAAGCGGTCCTTCGAAGAGCTCAAGCTTACGAAACGATGGAGAAGTGGAGAGAGGCGCTAAAGGATTGGGAAAAGCTGGGATTGTACGAGAGGCTGGAGGGCAGCGGAAAGGGGGGAGCTGGGAATGTTAGGAGTGCTGAACAGGGCAAGAAGAGGTGCGAGAAGATGTTGAGCGGATCTGGTGCCGCTGTTGCTGCTGGTGCTTTGTCGTCAAGGGCAAGTGGTGCAGGAAAGAGCAAAGCGTCGGTAGCCGCAAGGCCCGGTCCCACGCCTTCTGCGCGCAGAGCACAGACGGAAGCTGTCGATTTGGCAGCTCAACGAGCAGCGCTGGCCTCGGCCGAACGCGCCTCCAAAGCAGCGGCTGAAGAGAGCGCCAGAGACTTGGCCAAGGATTCGGTGGATGGCAAGATTTCGAGTTGGAAGACGGGCAAGGAGAATAATGTTAGAGCATTGTTGGCTAGCGTGGAGCTGGTGCTTTGGAAGGAATTGGAATGGAAGAAATTGGGCATGCATGAGCTCGTCACGGATGCGCAAGTCAAGAAGGCTTACACCAAGGCCATGATCAAATTGCACCCTGACAAGGTGAGCAGAGCGAATCGGAGAAGCCGTGCAGAAATGCATCAAACGATTTGGTGCACAATGTGCTCTGCGAACGCTGACTGACTCCACCTCAACAATTGCCTCACTCTGCCCTTTTGGCTCAGCTTACACCGCGCAACACTACCGTCGAGCAACGCATGATTGGTACGGCCGTCTTTGCGGCCATCAATGACGCTTGGGTAGTCAGTCAGTCAAAGAAATGAAGAAGTGAAATAGCACAGTCGAAATTTGTCCCCTTTCTTCTCCCCCCCACACTAGACACTTTACATCGCACGAAATCATAATTCAGCAAGTCTTTGATTCGACATCTGAATTCTATTGCTTGATCTATCGCAGAAACATTCAATTTATCTGTTCGCTCTTGTGCTATGCTACATGTGAGGAGTACACCCATGCCGAGGTGCGCGCGTCAAGCTTCTCCGGAAATGCGCTCGGCCCATTGTCGAAGCGTAGCAGCGAGCACGTCCGGCAAAGCTTCCAAGTCTCTCACAACGACAAAGTATTCGAATGGAAACGTGTCTAGATACCTCTTCATCACCAGCTCCATCTTGCCGCTCTCAGGATTGGTGGAGTAAGAGACGGAAGACATGTCCACTATGCTTGTGCTCGTGCTCGTGCTGGGCTGCTTGTTGTCACCGTTTGTTTGAGCAGGGCCTAAAGGGGTGCTGGTTGGAGCTTTGGGTCGCGCGTCAAGGATGATGAAGACTAGCATCACTCTTTGCTCGCTGGCTCTGCGTAGCAGAGCACGAAGTCTCTCGTGATCCTGTGCGATACATGAAAAGGCGGTAAGCTTTGCGCGAAGCCAGCATGCCGAGATGTAGCTCTCATCAACACTCACCTGACAGATTCCGTCCGAGATGATGATTTCGAGCTGCCACAAGTCGCTTGCGGACGTCGATGTACGACTGTCCCGAGCTTCTTGGAGCATGCGCAGACTGTGCTCGACCAGTTTCAGCACGTCGGTGCTACGCTGCTCGAAGGACAAGCGTTCGACGAGCTGAGCACCGCCAGAGTCTGACAGCTTATCTTTACCGAAAGGATGCAAAGTCTCCACTTGCTGACCGAATCGACAAATGCTTACGTCTCCAACTTCAAGACGTCCAAGCGCGCTGCTAACAAGTGCTAGAGTCTGGTATGCGAGGTGCGCTGAGCGATTCTCCGACATGCTGCGACTGTCATCGACTGCTAGCAGGACTTGATACTCTCGGGCGCTGGGCTTCGTGCGGCGAAGCCAAATCTTGTCCTTGGCAAAGTCGGAGGCGATGAAGGGCACAATTTTGCGCATGTTGAGACGTTTCCCGGTGCGGAAATCCCCATTGAGTCGAGTGGCTAGAGTGGGTGCCAAGATCAGACGAAGCTGCTCGCACAAGCCAAAGGCGAGATCCGACGTCAATGCGATGTAAGCGCGCCAAAGTTCGCCAGCTCTTTCCAATTTGTCGTGATCATCGCTCGCGCTTCGAAGAGCGAGCAAATCTGCTTCAATGTCCGCGTCCGCTTGGCGACGCTCATCTTCGGGCATGGGGCTCGCGCGATCTGACTCGTCATCTCCACGATCATTTGCCGCAGCGAGAGCGCCATCTTCGAGCTCATTCATCGCATCAGCGCCAGGCTCCAGGTGTCCATTGGACCGCGTCTGTGACGCGTCTAGAGCTTTGGCCTGCTTTTCTTGCGATGGACCTGCATCTTCCGTATCCATCTGCATCGGTGCCTCGCCAAGCGGTTGAGGGGCCAAGTCACGATCAGCTGGCTTGACTGAGTCTTCCCATTGTTGTACAGACGTATCAGTCACGCCCTGTTCCTCGTCTGCAATGCCGGTATCGGGCAGACGCTGGACTTCGTCATCTTCGCCAGCGGCCCCCAAAGCTTGAAGATCAGTCTCCTCGTCAGGTCCAATGTGCTCCACCTCGCCAGTCTCGGGCATTCCTTCTCCGTCTGGTCTGGCCTGATCCGTGGCTCGCTCATCGGCCGCCATCGCCTCCTCGATGGCTTGAATGTCGCGCCTGAAGTCTTGCAAAGCATCTCCAAGACTCCGTTCAGGCTTCCCCGACTCGCTTTCACCATTCGCCTCATCGACTTGCTCTTTAGCGCCCTCCTGAGCGTCTTGAGTCTCGCGCCGAGACTGCTTTACATTCTGTTGAGCGTCTTCTGGCTTTGCTTCGGAGCGAGCAGTATCTGCTTCACCGTCTTGGTTGCGGGTGACATCCCCGTCTTGCGGCTCTGCTTCTTCGCCATCTTGTGCTTGGCGACCCGATCTAGACCGTGATGCGTTCTGTTGCTCTGCGGAAGCACCCTCGTCCGCATCACCGCCGTCGGCGGGAGCATCTTCATCCATTGCAGATTGCACTGCCGCATCTTGAGGCTGAGAATGCTGATTTTCGGGCGCCGCTCGCTCTGCGCCTAGATTTTCCGCAACCTCTGCATCGTCAGCGTCCTCATCCTCTTCAGAAGAGTTCGCTTCGCCACCATCCTCGTTATCGCCAGCGATGTCCATAGCATCTTGCCCTGCGTCTGCAGACTCGGGGTGATCGGCGTCGGCAGGATCTTGCGTTCGGTCAGGCTCCAGTTCCGTAGCTGCATCATTTGCGTTTGACTCATCGGGCGGTTGCTGCGGATCTTCATCTTCATCAAAGCTCAGCTCGCTACCATCATCTGCCCGCTCGTCGAGCTCCAGCTCGTCTTGAAAGTCTAGATTGTCAGCTTCAGCAGTTTGCTCGTCGAGCTGCCTACCCATGCCTTGCTCCATTTCAGGCGCGTCTGCTTCCGCATTCGCAGAGTCGCCGTCGTCCTTTTGGTCTTCGTCAAGATCGGATACGTCTTCTGCGGCATCTTGCTCGTTGCCGGCGCCGTCTTCGTCCTGTGAAGACTCGGGCTTGTTGTCCGCCGCCGAGTCCTGCTTCTGCTTGGAACGATCCTTGGCAACGGACTCTTCGGGACCTTGCTGTGGCCCGTCGAGATCTTTGTCGGTCTGATCCTGGTTGTGCTCGGCCTCCTCGCCCTCGTTCCCATTCTCTTCTCCCCACATTTTCTCATCAACAGTATTCGGGTCCAGCGGATCGACGCCGCCACGCTGTTCATCAAGATCCTCGTCGTCTGCCTCGTCTTGATCATCTTGACCCTGCTCGTCTTCTCCTTGATCTGCGACACTCTCCAGCTCTCCTCCAAAGTCTTCTTCCATCTCTCTGGCGTTCTTTTCGCGCTGTGTCTCCCCCTTTTCGCCATCCTCCTCCTCTGCTTTTTCACCTTGCAGCTCCTCCATCTCTTCGTCGTCCTGCATCTGGTCCGTGACGTCTTTGGCGCCGGAGCCGTCACCTAGACCCGTCCCGCCTTCGACTTGTTCTCCGCCTTCTCCGTCTGCCTCCGCTTGATTGTCATCAGCTTGTGCTGGCTTGCAAAAGCCTTTGAGGCTGAGCGATGTAAACGTGTTGCACAAGACGAGCGTGAGCTTGACCAAATTGCGATAACATGCAGCGGATGTGGCCAAGTGGCGCTCAATGAGCCCAGCGTACTCGGCCACGAAGGGCGTCACGCGTGCAAGAGAGCCATCCATGTTAGATGCAGGCTCGAAGACTGCGCTTGCAAAGAGCTCCATGAGAGAATCTTGGACCTGTTCGAACCGCAGCGTTTGGCTGATTCGTGCAGTATGCTCGATACGCCGCGCTAGTGCTTGATCCGCCATCTCATCGTCGACGACGTCTGAACTGTGCTGCTGACCGAGCTTGTGAAGCTCTTGTGCAATGACGAGCACAGAGGAAACGAGCCGGTCACTGGCGGGTTCTCTGTTGGCTGGGTCTGCTGCTCCTTGCAGAGCGCTCCGGCAGCCAGCAAAGACGTCATCAGCTTCTTGCGATATCCATTCACCGAGCGGCTGTGTCATAGCAGAGAGGTCTGGATGCCGGCGCCCAATAACTTCGAGCTCTCGCACAATGGCATCCAGCGCTTCTGTCCCAGCGCCCAGCAGTTTTGCCTCGTGCTGCAACAAAAAGAGGCAAGAAGACATTCTGAGGGTGGCAAGCAGAGAGAGGAGGCTGGTCCGCGTGGCTGACAAGCGCGAAACTTCTCCTTTGACGCTATCCCACAGGAAAGACAAGGCAATACGGCTGTCTTCAAGCGGAGAAAAGTGCAAGTAAACGGGCGTATTTGAGATGGCCTCTCCTAATCCTTCCACAGCTCGAGCGAGGAAATCAACGAGCGCGGCCAGGGCCGGCACGATGCCTGGTTTGCAAGCCGTTGCTGGTCCGTCTGATGTGGCTAAGTATTGCAGCCGAGTCGAGATGCCGCGGGCGGCATTTGCCTGTCGCGTCAAGGTGGCTAGCTCCGCTCGGCTGGCGAAAGTCAGGCTCGAAGCATGCTCAACAAAGTTGATACCTTTCAGCAGGTCTGCGACGGGAACATCATCCGTCCGAGAGCTGACAGACTCTCGAAGGTGAGGCAAAGCAGCAAGAAGACGGTAATGGTAGCGATCCGCTCCTGCAAGGGCTCGCTGGACGTGTGGATTTTCCGATTCCGTCACGCCTCTCTGCACGTACAGATAGGTGACATCTTTGTGACGAGCCACAAGCTCTGGACGGACTGCAGAACGCAAGCCGACTCTGCGCAGCTCACGCATGAGGTCTGAAAGAGCCTTTCTCTTGCGTGAAGTGAGAGCGCGAATGGTCTTGGCGTTCTGTTCGGTGGCTACTGCGGGTGTCAACTTTGCGAGCTCAGCAGACCGGCTGATGATCGTTCCGGAAAGCTCATCCATTGCCGTAGGAAGGCCTGACTCTAGCGCCTCGGCTAGCTGATTTGCAGAGAACGCAGCCAGCTTGCTCGCTGTTCGCGACAGGTCCACAAGGTGGGGTGGAGTGTCTGAAGCTCGCGCTGGAAGGCTAGATCGCGTCAAGATCTTCTCGACTTCCGCCTGGCCCAATGGCAACGAAGAACCGCCGCCCGCGGGCAAGAGACCCTTCTCATCGGCAACAACTGAAGCGGAGCTCTGAGCAGCAGTGGCAAGGAGAGGGTCCACGGGCTGACGCAGAACGTCTCGGAACTTGCGAATGCAGCGGTGCAGCTTCCTGTGTGTTTTTTGTGCACTCTGCTTCAGCGCATGAATGTTGACATCCTTCCACGAGGCAAGCTTGACAAAGTCTCGGATTTCCTTCTCGATTGCATCGCGCTGCCTGTGCAGTGTCTCTTCGACCTTGGGCTTGAGCTGCCCGTAAAAGTTGTTGACGTTCTGGAGCACTGTCGCGACCTTGTCGAGACCGAGCCATTCTTCTTGTGGCAAGCTACCGCCGACCAGAGCATCCAGGAAGGTGGAGAATGAGTGTAGCAGCTCTAAACGAGGCCCAAACGTCCCGAAAGAGCTCGATCGGACGTATTGGTCCAGCAAAGCAATCAGCTTTTGGAGATGGTCTTGCGCTTGTTCGGTGCCTTCCATGGTAGCTGCCTGCATACCCCTTACCGCGACCTCGAAGAGCTGGAACCAGAAGTCCGCAGTAGGCGCTGCAAATCGCTCAGCTTGCGTATCCAAAAGGCTCGACCAGCATTCCAGCTCGAGGCGACGCCACTCGATAATCTGCCCAATGATTTCATCCCGAGAAATTTTGAGGCTAGTCGCTGAGCTCGCATATCCTTCCCAATCCTCAGTGTGGACCAGTAGTTGTTCCAGAGCTGCAAGAATCCTAGCGACTGGCAAGCCGCTGTCGAGGCGCAGTATAGCTTCACAACGTTCTCGGATGTGCTGCAGTACCATCTGCTCGGGCCATTCAGTGATCAAGGCGGTGAGCCTTTCTCGGAGTCGCTCGACAATCGCAACGGCTTTGCTCGTCTGAGGCAGGTTTGCCGCCGTGTAAAAGTCGGGTGCTGGCAAAGTCGAAGAATCGGGCGTGAGTGCACTTTGGGTGACCATATGAACTGAGAGCGGCGCGCTGATTTGGTCGAGAGCCTCGGGCAGGGTCTCACGTGACGCCAGGAGTGCACGTTGCAGGACATCCTGGCGTAGCGACTGCAGCAGCGCCGATGCTCGCACGCTGATCTGAGGGGAAGAAGTCCCAAAGATGGCCGAATGAAGATGATAGAGGCTGTTGATGTGGTCTTTGCTGAAGCTTGTCGTGGACACATTTGCCGAAGTTGGCTGTGGTGTTCTGCTATCGTACCCAGTCTCCATGACGTCTTCAAATTCGGGAAAGAGCTCGAGAAACTCGGCCTCCTCCGCAGCAGCTTCATCCTGAATCAGATTGTCCAAGTTGCGCGACTTGTACAAAGTAGCTTCTTGCTCTTGAGCGCGGCGCTCCCTGTCCCGATCGAGTACCCAAAGTTGGTAGATCTGATCATAGACCACAACAAGGCGTTGCAAGATAGATTGGAGGCTCACGCCTTTCGAGACGTCTTCGCTGATGCAAGCGACCGCTGTGAGTAGCAGCGAAGCCGAGAGTGCGCTCGCTCTTCCCTGCTCCTTTAGCCGCACTGGCAGTTGAACCTTGGCGTAGAGCTGAGTGGCCCGCATCGTGGGAAAGCTGGTCAGGGCGCTCAAAAGTTCGCAATGCCTCTTGCTACTTTCGGTCTGGCCTTGAACTTTGACGGCTTGTGCCAACACCCGCAGACCCAATCGCGTGCCGTCTAGGACAACAAGAATCGGTGCTACGAGGTCTTCCATCGAAGAGCCGTGGACTGCAGATAGACGCTGTCGGAAAGCGCCCAGAGTGACTTGCAAATCTTGTTCCCTGGCTTCAAAGTCTGTTGGGAGACTGTCGCGATGCTGTTCTGTTGCTAGCTGCGCGAGCAAACCTCTTTGGTACACGGTCTGCACAAAGGTGCTCACCTCCCGATGCAAAGAGGTGAGCTTTGAGAGATCAGGCTTTCGTTCGAGAGCCCGATCGGCAGCTCCAGGCTGCTCGAGCATCAGTGCTGCATGCTTTGCCATCAGCGAGCGCGTCAGCGGACTGCTAGAATTGCCAGTGAGCACAGCTTCCGCACGCGCGGCGACATCGATCTGCGCTTGGAGACGCGCACCTTGCCAGGCCGACAGTCCTCCTTGGGTGCGCTCTGTGACCAAAGGATCGACGGCCACGTTGGGGTGAAACAGAGAGAGCATACCGCAAGACACATTGATCCAGGCAAGACCCAAGCGCATCAAGCCATCGGCGTGATCCGTGGAGCCTACGCGCAAAAGATACTCCACCATCTCAAGCCAGATGTTCAGTACCGGCAAACGTGTAGCGGGATTCGTGCTGTCCAAATGCGCGACAAGCGCCTCAAGATCGTCCAGCGTTATGACTTCGTCGCGCACGAAGCGGTGCGCAAAGTCTCGTAGCTGCGCGGATGCCTCGCTAGCCAGGAGTGGGATGAGTGCATCAGTAAGCTGGAGGAAAAGGTATGGGCGGTCAGCAAATGTAGAAGAGGCATCACGGCACATCCAGATACCCACCTCTCGCACAAGGCGTTGTAGCGCAGCATGAAGCCGAGCAGCACGAGGCGGTGCGCGGAGAGACAACTCCAAGTTGAAGAGTTCAGCCACGCGTGCTGCTTCACGCTTGTGAGCAGCAAGTTCCGCCAAAGAGACGGATCTTGGAGAGCTATGAAGTGACACAACGAACAGGAAGACAATGTGAGCAGTTGATGAGGAGTACCAGTCGCAGTCGCTCGGAGAGAGACACGCACCCGATCTTGACGGCGCTTTGGAGTCTCAGTGGGCGCAAGAGATCTGCCGGGCTAAACGCTGCGTCCAGATCCCACAATTTTGCGGCCCAGGCCAGATCACCCGAGCTTTGCGCGGGAGAAATCGCAGGGTGCAAGCCCGCAGCAACGCGCGTTCCCCATGCGTCTCTCCTAAGCGAGACAAGAGACGTCAGGTCATAAGAACTGTCGTTACACGCAGCTTTCATGAACGCGTCGAGGCACTTGCGCCCATGAGCAAAGTCGTCGAGGCCAGCTGCTCGAGCACAGTGCTTCAGTCCCGTCTCGCAAGCCGCGAGTGCTCGCGCTACGTGCTCGTGTGGCCGCGCATGTTGTTCGAGATGCTGGGGGGCCACAAGCGATGCAGCCTGGAGCTGCGCAGACAGTCTGCTTGCGATGTCCAGCAGCTCGGCGCGCTGATTGGCCTGCCAGGCCTTGTCGGGCGATGTGAGCGTCGCGGCTACATCGATCGAGGTGCGCGCTAGGTCTGTGAGGACAACGTCATGTCAGCTTTGAAGAGAGTGCGAGCGTCGGCGTGGCGGCGAGCTACTCACCGGGCGGAAGCGCTTGACGGGGCACGAGATGGAGCAGGCGAATGACGTTCGCCGCGGCCGACGCCGCCTCGACATCATCTTGGCCATGACCCAGACACATTGCCCAAATCTCCCTCATCGCCAAGCCCGTGACCAATTTCACATTGGAGTCAAGCTGATGCAATACGCCGACGATCCGAGACGCCTGCTGCGCATGGGCGTCGTTTTGCGCCAGCTGTGCAGCAGCCTGAAACATCAGCTTGATGAGGACGTGTGCCGAAGAGTAGTCAAAGTTGGGCGATTGGGATGAAAGACTACCTAGATACGATGCAATGTCGACTAGCTGCGCGACAGCATGACACGACGATGCGTCGCTTGTCGGAACAATTTGCTGGGCTATTTGCGGCACCAAAACAGCAAGCGCAAAGATCACTGGCGGTTCTGCTTTGCGCTCAAACGAGCGCCCACCAAAACGAAGGGCGGACCATTCGAGGGCCGTCAACGCATCTTCGGTCTTTGACAAGGATGCCTGCGCAGTGGACTTGAGCTTTGAGAGCTCCACGGTCGTCTGGACGAGCAGTGCGATAGCTTGCCCGAACATGTCTTGATCAGCAGTGCCGCTAGCGGTGGCGGCATTTGCACGGAGGTCAGGTCCAAAAGAGCTTAGCACTGCCAAGTCCAGAGCGTTTGTTTGGGCAAAAATCGTGCTCCTGGCCAAGGCATGGTGTTGAATTGCGTGGGTCCGCAGATACTCGATGACCGCCGCGTCCACCTCCGTGGCCGTCGATGAAGACACTCGCATGGCCAGGGTCAGCAAGTGCGCAGGTAAAGCTTGGACGATGTGGACGCAGGCCGCTTCGCGTTGCAGCTCGTTCGAGCGCTCATCGATCCGGAAGCGTGCCAATGCTAAAGCACTGGCAGAGCTTTGGGGCAGCAAGGTGGAGAGGTGCTTCGCTAGGTGATCGGGCGTAGAAGCGTCTGGAGCAGGGACGTACACTTCGATGCCTCGATTCCTCATCGCTCGACTAAGCTCGCCATGCTGAGGGTCCAGAGCCATGAAGACTCTGAATGAGGGATGCGCTCTGACGACCTGAATCTCTCCATCGATGACGCCGCGCTCGCTGAGTATGAGAGATCCACCTTGCTCGAAAAGAGAATTGAGACGATCCAAAACCGATGCGGAGCACAAGTTTGCGTCGTCGATCAGGAGCCAGTCGCCGCGCTTCATGGCTCGCACCAAGGGCCCATCGTGCCACTCGAAGCGTCCAGCCTGACTAGCTGCAGCTTTGGCCGCTTTTCCGACGCCCTCTAGCGCCTCCCGCACTGCAAATGTTTCGTCGACGAGAGCCAGCGGCTCTATGGAAGCGATGAGCTGCGTCTGTTGATCGTCTGTCATCGCGCTGCCACTCGACAGGAGCTGAGCAACGCGGTGGCGCGCGGCATCGAGCTGGTCGTGGTCAGGTAAAGCAGCAAGTTGCGAGCTTTCGAGGGCTTGCAGAGCATGGTCCAGTCTCGTCAAGTCTCCACGAAGCTTCACCAAAGGGTCCGCCTGCTCAAAAGTGCCCAGCACATCCATAGCATCTATGCCCGAACTCATGCAGAGCTCCTCCAAACGAGTGCCCGCAAGCTGAGCAAGCAACTTTACAGCACAAGTCTTTCCTGCACCGCTGGGTCCTGTGAGAATAGCGAGCCAGCCGAGGTGAACACAATCGATGAGCGTTTCCATAGCTGGTAAAATGTGTTGGGGAAAGGCCAGCTTTGCATGATCCTCTGCCTGGCGTGGCAGGCGAGGCAACACCGCGTGGCCCACTTGCAGGAACCTGGGCGTGACCGTAGGTTGTGGACGATGATCGACGTCGATCTCTTCTCCCCAAACCTGTTGATAGATGGCAGCTGCAGCTCGTCGATCGCGTTTGTTCCTGAAACGCTGCAAGAAGAGAGCGGGCAAGTGCTGCACAGGGCTACGACGCCAATTGAGGCCTAGATCGGAGTGCAAAAGCGAGAGCCAGCGCAAAAGGTCACGCAAATTGAACTCCCAAGGCGCTCCCGCCCTGCCCATGCTCCGGGTGACCATGGTAGCATCGTACAGACGAGCATTAAACTCGATCATGCGCCTCAAATCCCGCTGATGGAAAGCGGGATAGAGGTGAGCGCAAATGGTGAGGATATCTGCAGCTTCAAGCTCATCCACGTGAACCTTTGTGAAGCGGTTCAAAAAGGACTTTGGCAAGCCTTTGCGACCGCCGCCTTGATGATGAGGATTTTGCGCCGCAAAAAGTCTAAAGTCCTCGTGCTTTGTAAAGGTGCGTCCTAATTCCGGGACGTAGACCGTGCCTCTGTGATCAAGACAAGAATTGAGTCCCTCCAGCACGGTCTGAGATGCCAAGTTCATCTCGTCGAGCAGCACCCTGCCCAGTCGACGACGACACGCGCTCATAAAGGTCAGCATCCGGCAGCACACTCGGACAGCAGAAGCGCAGACGCGCGCGCGCGGGAGTTGAAACTCACCAATCGCCCGCCTGCATAGCTCTCAAGAACGCAGCATCCCTCCACTCGAACTGTCCAGCAGCTCCGCCCTCGAGCGGAAGATCTCCACCAAACAAGTCTGTCAGCTCCGTCTGATCCGACAAGTTGATTCTCGTCAGCGCATTCCCACTAGCTCTAGCCAGAGCCGCAATCAAGCTCGTCTTGCCCGCTCCAGGGCTGCCTTCGAGCAGGATGGCTTTGCGAGGCACGCAGAGCGCTCGAAGGACGCGCATCGCATTGCTCGCCGTCGTCCTCGCCTCGAAGCTGAAGTCGTTCGCTCCAGACACTTCCCTGTCCGACAATGCGTCCTTTCTGCGTGCAGAAAAGGGACCGATAGAAAAGTGCGTAGATGTCCGACGCACCGTCAGCAAGTCTTCCTCCCCCATATCCATCGTGGAATTGCTGACGGAGCGCACCACATCATGAAGCTGCGCCACGCATCGCGTGCGCAGGGCGCGCACTCCAGCAGGGGTCATCGCAGCGGTAGCTGGGAGTGATCCCACGCCATCCACGATGACCATCATAGCGCCCTGAACAAAAGCCTTTTGCTCTTCAAGCACCACCTGGGCCGTCTGATTGATAAAAGTCGTCCAAGCGAGCAAATCCCTCACGCCCAAATTTGCCTGATCCCGTCCTCCGACTTCTGCGATGAACCATTGCGTAAAGTCCAGCATGGGCGCGCCCCACCGCTGCAATTCCGGTCTGTTCCACTTCGCATCCAAAATGCGCATCAAGTCCCTCCGATCCTCCACGTGCGGCACCCATATCTCCGTAAAGCGGTTCCTCAGCGCAGGGCTGAGTTCCTTCTTGCCGTAATCGCCTCCCGGATTCATGGTGGCGACGACCTGAAAGCCCGAGGCAGCGCGCAGATGAGCCGAGTCGAGCGCCCCCTCGGCCGTCTTGTCTAGCTGAGCGCCCGTACGTTCAGCCAGCACGAGCGTTCTACCGGACTCGAGCACAGAATTGAGTCGCTCCAGCACGCTATCGTCCGCCAAGGAGATTTCGTCGAGCAGCAGATGACTGCCATGGCGCATCGCTTGAACCAGCGGACCATCTTGCCATTCGAACAGAGCCATGGCTCGATGGACAGCTTGCAATGCGGTCGTCAGGAGAGGCTCGGTACTTGCAGAAGCGTTTTTTGCTAGTGCAGCAGCGAGATCTTCCAGATCCGCCTCGCTGCTCACATCAGCAAGAGGATCGTGCACCAAGGCGAGCGCTTCGAGAGCGACTGCTCTCGCATGAGCCTGTTGAGCCGCTCGATTCCTCAAGGGTCGTTGACCTCCAAGCAAGTCGGCCGCATCTGTATTCTGGTGGCAATTGACTTGATGAAGCTCTCTTCCCATCGCAGCAGCGAGCACTTCGCACACGCTCGTCTTGCCCGCACCCGTCTCTCCCACGAGCAGCACGGGCTCGTCGTACTGCAGAGCTGCAGCTACGAGGCACAGCATCCTCTGCATCGCTTCCGTCCAGACGATTCCAGCTCGCGAAGCTTCCAACCTCAAACGCTCAGCGATTCCGTCGCCCAGTCGAGCGGACGCTGGACCCTTCAAGTCATAGAGTGCCTTTTCGTCGATCTTGACGCGCATGACCTGCTCGACGACCTGTCGAACGGTGACCTTATCGTCTGCTCTCCTAGCTCTTTCCGCAATGAGCATGTAGCCATTGTGCGCCAACTCTTGATACCCCACCGCCTCTCTTTGTCCCCATCTAAAAAGATCACGAAGGGTAACGAAAGCCTGTTTGGTGTCAAACACTCTTCCCGCCTGTCTACGTTTCTGCAGCTCCACGAATACCGCGACAATCTTGTTGGCGTAGGAAGGAGCGATGGAGCATCGGTGCGTCAAGATGACTTCAAGCTCCGCCTGCGGCACATCATCAAAGTGGATTTCCAAAAACCGGTTTCGAAACGCGCGGCTTAGGACTTTGCGACCGGCGTACAGACCTGGAGGGTTCTGCGTCGCAAAGAGCATAAAGTGAGGATGAGGTCGCACCACTTCGCCAGTCTCGGGTATGACGAGCTCCCTATTATCGTCTAGCAGTCTGTTCAGAGCTTCCAGAACATCGGTGGGCGCCAAGTTGAGCTCGTCCAGGACGATCCAGTCCCCGTTTCGCAGAGCGCGAACCAGCAACCCTTCGTGAAAGACGAGCCTTGCGGAATCGGCATCCGAAGCGTACGAGCCAATGTACTCTTGGAGATCCGTGTGCTCGTGATTGTTGATGCGGACAAAACGATGTCCCGTCCTTCTAGCGAGGTACTCTACCGCGCTCGTCTTTCCCGCAGATGTAGGTCCTTGGATCAGCACGGGGTTGCGTCGCGTAACGACCGCTCTCGCAAGTCCCACGAGTTTCTCCTGCACAGAAGGCGTGAGGACATAATCCTCCGCAGCATCCAATTCCAAAGGTCCTCTTTCCAACCAAAAAGATCCCACCTGCACGCACGTGTTCGAGTCGGGCGCAGCTGGCACAAAGCTAGCCGCAGCATGTGCGTTCTTGGCGCGCGAGAGGATGCGTCGCTGCAAGATGTCGCAGGCAATCTTGGCACTCTTCCCATCCAACAGCAACACGAAAGCCATGGTGAAACCTTCCCAGAGGGCTCGTCGCAGTCCGTACGTGGCCGACACGTCTGCCGCAAAGGTGAGGGCACGCGACAAGGTTCGTATAGAGTAGTGGGGCCTCTGATTCGCTCCGTCCGCAAGCTCGTGATCATCCGCAAGCGTGCGTAGCTCCCAGTACGTCTCCGCAACATCCATGATGGCCGATCGATCTCCATGCGCCAAATGTCCCACATACTTGTCCACAATGGATGTGAGCGCTTCTCGATCCGCCGCCGGACTAGGCACGTACAGCTCCGTGAACCTGCTACGCAGACTACCTGGCAAATCTCGCTTGCCTACATCCGTAGCTGGATTCATGCAGGCAAAGATTCTAAAGTCCGGATGACGAGGCACCGGCTCTAGATCACCTCTCTCCGTCAGCACGAGGCTGCTGGAGCTTGATTGCAAGAGGGCCGAAAGACAATCGATCGTCTCCGGAGCGGCCAAATTGACCTCGTCTAGCAGCACCCAAGCACCCGTGCGCAGCGCGCGGACTAGCGGACCCTCGACGAAGCTAAAGACGAAATTGCGCTTCTTTGCGGCATGATGAATCTCGAATTGTCGAGCTTTTTCAGCAAATTCTTGCCAGGCCATATCCAGCGCTTCATCTCTGGCAGTAGCAGGCCCATCGTCCGTTCGCCTCTTTTTGCGAGACGTAGCTCCCGGCGAGCTTCTGCTCGGCGTCTCTCCGCTCGATCCTTGTTGCTCCTCCTTGCGACGTCTCGTAGCCGCCATCTTGGCAGACTCGTTCCACAGAGCAGCCAATCTTGACCACCTGGCTTGCGCAAAAGCTTTCCTCTCCGCATCCACAAAGCGCGCATTTCTTCTTGCCGAAAAGGTCTTTTCGAACAGCTCCAGCCACGCGTTATGAAGTTCCGTTGCCGGCAATTTGGCATCGAGCGGTTTGAAAGCGCCTAGTAGATCGCTGCTTTCGGTCTGTTGACTGAGATTGAGCGCCGTCAGCGGTCTTCCAAGCATGCAAGCGAGGTGCTGAACAATGGTCGTTTTGCCCGTTCCCGTCTCGCCTACCATCAGTACCGGTTCTGCCTGGGACACACAAGCAGCCAGTCGCTCCAGGAGAAGCAAGGCCGGTCGAGTCATTGCAAAGCTGTTTGCTGGAGGCCCTACTGCTGTCTGATAGGTCCCACGAGGTGCGCGATTCAACTCGACTCGGCCTATGCGAACGTGCGTGCCTTGCTGAGCCTCTCCAGGTCGACGTGCGCCGCTCTGCGAAGAGCGCAGCAGGAGCTCGGGAGTGCGGCCTTGAATCGCGAAGCATGCAGTTTCGGTAGAGAGACCAAGACCCGTTGCTAAGCTCTCGAGAAGTTCCGCATATGCTTCGTTGCTGGCAGACAGCTTGCGCACGGCGTTAGCGCCAGCAGGTGCTGTCAAGAGAGCAGACGCTCTGGTGAATGACAAAGCGGATCAAAGATGCCGCCGTCAAAACAAGTGTTTTGAGTCTTGTCAGAAACCTCACGAGGCAGCAGCGTCCGCACCACACCCCTACTCACGGAGGGATCAAAGCGCCCAAAAAGACATCGCAAGCCTCCGCAAAGATCTCCTCTTGCATCGCCTGATTCGCAAAAGGGTTTGTAGCCGCTCTTCCACCCGCCGAGCTCAACATGGCCTCCACTCGCCCAGCCCACTTGACCAGATCCCTCACCGACACATTTCTCCTCGAGCCGGATCTCGTACCGTTCGTACGCGCGCCGCTTGAACTCTTGGCCAGACGCGAGGAGAGCGCAGCAGCGGAGCTCCATACGCTCACCATGCGACTTAGCGCTCCATCTTGCGCCTCCGCCAGTCGAGGGAACATGCGGCGCAAAATCTCTTGCACGTCGTCTAGGCTGGGCGAGAGCACGTCCACGTTGTTCCAGTGCCCATGTCCCATAAACACCGGGGACGGCGGCAAGGCATCGGCATCGTCGAGCGTCGAAGCGTTCGCTCGAGAAGCATGCACGTTTCGCGTAGCGAACAGCGCAAAACCGTGTCCCGCTTGTACCTTGCCTCGACATCCCAGATCCAATTGCGGCCTACCGCCCGGCGTGTTGGCAGATCCCAACGCTTGCGCGAGCGGCTTGATCAGCGAAAGGATCTCGCCGGATGCTCGGTCGATATCTTCCAAGACGACCCAGAGTCCAAGTCGGACTGCCCGAGTCAAAGCTCCTTCGGACCATTCGAATGTGCCTGGTCGGGTAGGGGAGGAGACGAAGCTGCCCAGAAGAGCCTTGGCATCGAGTCCTGATTGATCGCCTAAATGTAGCGAGAGTATGGGGAGATTGGAGGAGGTCGGGCTCTCCGACGAGCGCATGCGTGCACACACGTGCTCCAGTAGCGACGTCTTGCCGCAGGCTGGCGGTCCGGATAAAAGAATAGGCCGGCGTAGCGCCAATAGCCGAACAAGATCAGTCAGGGGCTTTTGCAGCGCTCCGGTCTCGATGAAGCGAGATCGTTGAGCGGGCGGTTTTACTGCGGCAGGAAGCCCTTGCGCAAAGTGTTGCAGTGGCACAATCTTGAACACCAGTGTCCCACCAATGATTGTGGTATAAGCTCCCAGATCCGCCCGCGTGATGCGCATACTGCCCCCGCCGCCGCCGTGCGACTTGGACTGCTCTTGAGCATGCCGGACTCGATCGCACCTCCTCAATTCCTCCAGAGCCAAGTTCCAAGCATCTACACGCTCCGCATTGACTACCGACGAGTTCAAAGAGCGCACCTCGATCCACGCATCCACCGCTCCTTCCTTTTCTTCCTTCTGCTTCTCCTCCAGTGGTAGTCTGCCAGTAGCGGGCCTACCGACGTACCGAGCTTCCATCTCCACCCTCGTAGACTCTGCGATACCTTGCTGAGCCGATAAAGCCTGAATGGCTATCAACCTCGTCGTTTTGGAGTAGGCATCCGGGATTGGATGGGTGATGATGCGCTCCAACTGCTGGGTGGGCCAGGATGTGGGGGAGTAAGAGGAGAGAGCGGGTGCGGCGTGAAGAAGACGATACCAGCTGAGCAGCATCGTCTGAAGGGCGGATCCATCTTCGAGCCGCTCGTCAGCGTCTACGTGCAGCTTGGCTTCGTCGATAGATGACAGACTCTGTGCAGGTGCGGATGCGGACGCGGACGCGGAAAGGTGCGCGAGCGGGCCATCTGAGAAGGCGGGGTGGCAGAGCATGCGCAATGCAGCGCTATGATGACCGCGCAAAGGATGATTGGGAAGGTGTGAGCGAGGATTAGGCTTGTGCAAGCCGTTGGCGCGATATCGACTTACGGAAAGCATTGAGCAAAAGGAGGCAGTAATGCAGCGATGGCTGTAAATGCGGACCGCAAACGTTGGGTGTGTGGGTGGGCAGAGGGAGAGGTGAGGTGCGCGTGTGAAGAGGAAGGTGGGTGCGATTGCAGAGCCTCGTCCAAGCACGTCGAGATGATTTCGGGCAAGAGCGCTTCAAAGCAGGTGGCGAGCAGCAGCGTGTATGCCGGTTCCAACAACAATTCCGCCAGATCTCTCATCACGCTCTGAACGTCCATCTGCTGCCCCTGCTCTCGCTCTCGTATCTGCGCCCAAGCATGTAGACTGTGAAGCGGAGAGGATGCTTGATCCATGTATGCTTGCGTAATGAGCGAAATGTCGTGAGAGGGCGATGAGAGCGCGGCGTTGGAGGTGGATGGAGCTGCGGGGGATGTGGGTGCGGGTGCGGGTGCGGGTGCGGATGATGTGCCATGCTGTGCGGACTGGAGGAAGCGGGCAGAGGCAGCCTGCAGATGAAAGGCGAGGTGCGAGGGGGATGGGGACGGGGACGACATGCTTGGCACACCTCTTCTGCTCTTTGCCGACAACGGTGTGGAAAGCTGAGCAGAGTGGTGAGGGTGAGGGTGAAGGTGAGGGTGAGGGTGAGGGTGAGGGTGAGGGTGAAGACGTGCTACACGACTCAGGACTCGAGGTGGTGACTGCTTGCTTAGCTGCAGCCTAGAAGAAGAGAGCGACGCTGGCCAAACACGTAAAACGCCAAAATTGTGCAAAAAAAAAAGAGGTCGTGGCTGCATGAGTGGGACGCGTAGAGCGTTAGGTACAGGTTACAGGTACAGTCACTGCAACCTCTCTCGCACGGCAATCGGCAGTCGCGTACAGAGGTTCAGGATTACAAATTCAAAACAGTGGTGAGTACAATTAATCAACAGTCAACAATGGTGCATCAAAATCTATTTTGTGACTTGGCGGTCACGATTGCAAGTCACAGTGAGTCACGCGTCGCATGCATTCATCCATCCATCCATCCATCCATCCATCCATCGCCAGCACTCTTCACCCCGCACACCATGCCGACACCCACTACATCTGCACGGCACACGGCACACGGCACTTTGAAAGTCATGTGAGCCATGAGTGGGCATCACGCATTGCTGCAGATGGACCAAACAACGCTCGAACAGGTCTTCATTCAGGACTTGCAACAGCTTGAGCATGACCTTGGCAACTCTGCAGGCACGTCAGCTTCAGCTTCAGCTTCAGCTTCAGCTTCAGCTTCAGAGTCAAGGGGAACGCCAGCAGCAGCTCCAAGCAATGCTAAAGCTCGAGCTGGAGCTGGAGCTAGAGCTAGAGAGAGCGCGGACACCGCCACACCAACGACGACGACGATGCCCAGCAAGCATCAACAGAGCAGCCATCATGCCAGCGCACCTCGGCCAGGCAGAGCTCCGCAAGCTATACGATGCGCAGCCTATGCCAACTCTACCATGTTCGTGCACAGACTCAGGCAGGACGTGCAACATCTGCTGGACGACTTTGTGCGCGAGTTGTTGATGCAGCGGCGGATGGATGTGCAAGCTGGAATGTCGGCCATGCAGCTTTTTCATGGCCTATGGATTCGCGCAGGCTGGCACGCCATGCAATCCGCTTGGCCCGAGGCGCACGCCGCATCTAGAAGATCGTTCTTTGAAGCTACAGCGCGCGCGTTTGTCGGTGAGTGCAACGAGGCAAGGTGTTGCTGCGGCACCACGGCACCATCGCCTGTGCTGATGCCTGCCCCTTGCTCCCACGCCACGATGAAAGAGCGTCTAGCATGTCTCTCTCCATGCTGTCCCTATCCGCCTTCGCCTGCAGGCTCGTACAGTCTGCACATGCCCGACGTGCATCACGTCGCCCAAGGTTTGGCCTGCCTCTTTGCCGTCTACACCCTCGTTTCCACCACGGCTGAAGCTGTGCCTATTCTGCAAGAAAGACCAGAGGGTTGCGTTGGGCATGATGCTGTTGACAAGGGAAAGAGCAAAGAGATTGCCGTGGGGCATCAACACTCGCCTGAATGCGGATGGAGAGTGTCCATGCCGGTAGGTGAGTCTGTTGCACAATGTTGGAAAGTCTGCTTCTCTTCTCTCTGCTAGCTTGACCGCTGACAGTCGTCTTTTGGCACATCTCGCACCAGACCTGTACAATGTGCTCCTGCACATTCCACAGCACGTCGCAGGCACAGAAGCAGGACATGGCTGGCAAAGCGCCAAGGAGGATGCCGCTTTTGCTCTTTGGGCTTTGCACGGCCATGCGCTTCCACGACGAAGCATCAAGATGCAAGGAGACCGCCAGATATTCCCATCCGAAGCATTCATCCTCAAGAAGGACTACAGGAACAGTAGATCGGTCGACAAGCTTCCAGCGCGCGTGCAAGACGAAAGCGGCCATGATGGTGATGATGATGAGACTCGAGCTGCTACGCTTCTTGGCGTTGTTGGCGATCATGCTGCTCAGGTTTCTGGTAAAAGGGGGAAACGCAAGAGCACGACGGGGAGGTTACAAAGTAGCAAGAGAAGAAAGGCCGGCACAAGTGCGGCAGGAGCGTCCAATGATGATCAGGTTTCCTCGGTCTCAGGCGGACCCGAGTTGGATGCGCACCAGCAAAAAGGGAAAGAGAAAAGTTTTTGGGTTCGGGCAGTGCAGCAACCTGTCGAAGAACGCATTGTGGGGCCGATCAGCGCTTTTGAATTGATTCCCGCGACGAGTTTGAGAAAAAAGACGCATGGGCTATGGCCCTCCAATCGAATAGGCGATCAAGCATCGGTAGAACGTCACAGGGCAGAATTTGGCATGGTCATGTTGGACCAGTCTGGTGCTCGCAAAGCCGGGCGAACGGACAGGCACGTCGATGGACCAAACGAGATTCGCGACGTTGAGCTTCTAAGCGCTGCGCCGGCCACGCACGCCTCCCTCTCCACCTCGCTCTCCACCTCGTTTTTCGACGCGCACGAACCTTCGTCTGAGCGTCCAGTCGCGCATGGACTTTCAAGAGCTGACTTGGTGCGCAATATAGTCAGAGCACAGTTGGGCGAAGCGCCTCTGATATACGAGACGATGCTAGACGACCTCGGCACCAATGCGAGGAGAGTGGAGGAGGAAAGCGGATCGCAAAGCGGGGGTCGGTCTGCTGATGCTGAGCGAGCTGCTCGGACTGCACCAGATACATATCGCGCGCACAACCGAGCTGCTCCGAGCGAGACGCATTCGCGCAAAGGTGCGAATGCTGCAACTTTAAGCTCTACCGCAACTCCAAGTCCAACTTCAACCGCAACTCCAACGTCGAAATTGACACTTGCTCACATTCCCCCATCTAACCATTTGCCACGACACCGCGCTTTTCGTCCGTCGCCTCGTGAGGGTCTGTCGACGTTGAACAAGCTGCTGGAGCGGCTCAAAGAGGAAGCAGAGGGGTATGTGAGGAGCGCCAATTTTGCGCTCGGAAAGCAGCAAGATCGAGATGCGCACGTTTTGCAAAGTGCGGCGGCAATGCCTGGTCTGGCTTTTGGCAAGAGGTTGGGAGATGATGCAGTCTGCAGCGATGCACTGGCCGACGCAAACGAAAAGAAGTCGGACTTGGACTTGCACTTGGACTTGGCTTTGGGTTCGAAGCGTTTCGAAGTCGATTCGGATGGATGGCTGAAGCGGTGGACAAGGCGTTGCGATTCGACTTTGCAGGGGGAGGAGAAGAAGTTGTGGAGGAGCGTTGGAGAGGAAGCTTGGGTCAGGACGAGGAGTGAGGTTGTGGGGAGAAAGGAAAAGGCGGGAATTCGTGCGTTGAAAAAAGGAGCAGCGAAAGAAGGAGGAAGAGGGGCATAGAGGGGGGGGGCTCGCCATCTGGAGAAGAGGATGGAGTGCGGGGTTGGACTTGGACAAGGCTTGGGCGTTGGAGGATTCGGCGCGGGTGAGGATGCTTGGACTGCGTGCACGCTCACGTCCCGCACTATGTCCAGGTATTCCGTTGAAATAGCAAAAGCCCTCGTTGCGCATGATGCTCATGTGCAGACCTACAATGTGCTTGTACGCATCTGCACACACATATCGTGACATTTACCATACCCGCTGAGAAAGAGTTGCAACATCCGAGCGTTTTGTCTATATCTCAGCCCCTCCTGCGTGCCCTTCTTTTCCAATCGCAAGTGCTGTGGATGTGTTCAAAGTGATAGCGTGTGCTTTTGGCTTGTGTCATCAGGACAAACATTACGGATCTGTGCCCAAATGGGCTGTACAGACCAAGCATCACTCCTGTGGGCCTTTCTGGCACGAAATAAGGATGATGAGCGCGATGTGGGAGCGAGCGTGGGCTTGGACTGCTCGACATGGCAAAGCGGCAATTCGTGAGTATATTTGTTCTCCCATTCAGAATCCCACAATTCTGCGCGCAGACATCTGTCCTGTTCCCCATGTGCAGCATTGTCTTTTGCTCAGCCTGATGAGGGTTCTGCGGAAGCGTGCTTGCGATGTCCGCACGTAGAGCAAGTGCAGGACGAGGGATACGCTTGTGCATGTTCTTCCAAGCATGGAGCTCTAGGATCACAGCCACGGCATCCTTTGAGAAAGTCTCCTGCATGCAAGCTTAATTCTGCAACATTAATAGGTTCGGCCAACAAAACTGCAATATCGCTTCTTGGAATGGAAAGAAGAACAATCTGTAGCAAAGCCATTGGATTGTTCTTACCAATGCAGGCAACACTCAGAGGTATGACGGTCTGTTTGGGATTGTCAAGGAGGGTATGAAAATGCTTCTTGGTTGCGCTTCTCCAATGACGTCCTTTGATCAGGCTGTGCGGCAGATGGCTAGCCATGTAGATGTTGAAGAAGGCCTCTGAAAGCCCTCTACTTGGCGTCTTGTAAAACCTTACCTGGCCCAGCTTTTGGTAGGTCCCTGGTTCTGCGCAGTCAAAGAAGACGTACCAAATGTTGGCGTCTGTGAACATGTCATCCGCAATGTCCATCGCGTCGTCCTTTGTCGCATCTCCACCGCATTGTTTTTGTTGTTGTCCATCTTGATGACCTCTCCTTCTGCCAGCTGCGCATCCACAAAGTTGAGGTTGTTTGGGTGGCTTGCATTATCCCTGAGCATGACTTTGACCCACACCACACCTGCTTCAGCTGCTCAAGACCAGGCTGCCTTTCATCAAGCTGATGAAATGTGTGTCTACCTCCCCTGCCAACAAAGCGGGCGTAGGTCTTGTTGTCAAAGTTTTGCACAGAGAGCCAGACATCATCAATACGCCTTTGCTATAAAGGAGCAAAGGTGTGTGATGAAGACAATGGAATGGGAAGAGTCTGTGTCACGACCAACTACCGGTCGGGTTGGTTGTGCTACGCTCGTGTAGCCCGGGAACGTCAGGTGCGGTCTCAGGAGGCTTGGGCGCATTGGGAACCCCAGATGAGGAGTTTGTAGCGCATGGGGGCTTTGGGTGATCAGGCAAGTATGGCTACACAATTGCTAGAGGGGTTGGACGCTCCGGTGGCAAGGGACACAGGAGCAGGGCAAATCCTAGGATAGCAGAAGATAGACAGTAATTGCGACAGAGAAGAGAGGAAGCAAGGGAGGGCGCTGCGGGCATGCGAGGATGGGTTTGGGTACCGCGGTGCGCGCGTCGGTCACGTGGGGACGCGCGGTGTGTGTTTGTTAACGCGTCTAACAGTCTGCTTCAAACTCTACCTTGTCCAAACCATCCAGCAGCTCCTTCAGCCACCTCTTCTTTTGACTACTTGGCCTGTCACGGGACAAGCAAAAGGCGTAGTGAGCCCCAAGACAAACAAACAAGCATTATCCTGCCAGCACATGTGACGGACGGCCCAATTTGAAGTCCAATGTGTCAGAGGCATCATTGTCACCAAAATCAGAGCTTTGTTGCGCCCAGGTAGATTGTGCACTTGAAAGACATCCACAACGGCATTCATGGGCGCCGTGCTGGGCTGATCAAGGTTGACACAACCCAGTCATCTACTGATTGTTTCAAAACTCTCATATAGAGACACTGTACTGCCAGCAAGCCCAAGTTTGCGAGCAAAGTCAACATAACTGGACTCATCAGACACAAAACCGTTGTGTTTGATGCCTGAATGTGATCCACAACAAGGTTCCAAGGGGGAGTGCCAAAGACTTGACCTTGAGTCCAACATCTGAAGCCTGGATGCCAAGGTCTTGTAGCTGTTGCTGCATCTTGATTCTGCTGTGCGCTGAAGCTGAAGCCCTACCGTAGATTGATTGAAGCTTCTTGAGGAGCGTAATCTGGCAATTGCCTGCAAGAAGGAGATCCAGCAGGTAGCCAAAGACCTTGCTTCCTCTGTGAGTGCCTTCAATTAAGTTGCAATGATCTCAACTGCCCATGTGACTAACCATATATGACCATCTGTCCAATTGCATGATCTGCAGGGCTTCTACCCTTGCATCAACAATATGTTGACTAGATCTTTCGCCTCAAAGTGTCCAATACAGATTTGACTGCACAAGTTGCCAAGCTGCAGGCTAGCGAGAAGAAAAAGGTCGACAAAGCGCATCTTAATGCCAAGCTGAACAGGGAGATGGGTCAGCGCATGAGAGAATACATCTTCCATGATGTCCCCCCTGGCACAACACTCACCTTCTGCTTGCTTGAGGACCACCCTGTCATGGATAAATGCAGTGAACCGTTGGGGACGTTTTGTAGGCAAATTTTGACAATGCCCAGTGATGGTACCCAGATGTGGACGCTTGCAGCCCTTCCTCAGAATATGCCCAACTTTGAGGCACTTCTGACGGCTGAGGAGAGGGGTAAGGTGTACGCACCAAAGTGGAAAGAAGGACGTAGCCCCAATGATGCCATCATTCAGCGCGTCTATGAATGGGCCTGTGCAGAGGCAAAGGCGCACGACAAAACTCACAAGTGCAACATGTCCAAGCAGGACATCGACAACCTCCCAGAGATCCGCAGAATGGCAGCTGAAGCCTGGTCGTCACTGGTGTCTACAAGGCCAACACCTTTTCGGACGCTTTTATCGACGATTGAGAGCGACTGGTGCCAACAGCGCAAAAGAGCATTGATCGCCTGACTCACCTTGGTGGAGGATCTCACCACGGTGTTCAAGAAGCACAACGCAGCCAGCAAGTACCAAGAGCACTTGGCTGCTCAGCACACGCTGCAAGGGACCAGCGCAACGGCATCAGAGATGGTGACAGTGGAAGCCATGGATCAAGCAGGTGAGGTGATGCGTGAACATAAGATCACAAGGGCGCAAGGTGGAAAGAGTGCAACAACAGAAGACAGGACGACGGCAGCAGGCAGCAAGGGCATGCGCAACGCTCTCAAATGCAAGGGCGTCATTGCTTGACTCACGTTGGGCAAGGAGGCTGCACCTGAGATTGGCACCACATTCCCACATTTTCAACAGCCAGAGCATAAGATGGATCCAGGATACCCTGATGCTAGCGCTGCGCTCAAAGCTGTTGCCCAAAATCACAACAATGTCCAGGATCTTGACGCCAAGGCCAACAATGCTGCTTCCCTGCGCGAGGAGGCAAACATCAATGATGGCAAGATCAGGACCTCAGTCACAAAGGCTGCGTTGCGCCAGGTGCAGATTGCGCGCATGGAGCACTTTGAGCGGCTTTGGAGTGCAGCAGATAGGGAGTGCACATTGATCAGCTTCATGCTAGACTATGGATTCTGTCCGCTGGGCACTTTTGGTCCCAAACATACTCCAACAGGCATCTTCAAGAGCCAGCACTCGACATGGGGCAGAGCATCCCAGGGGCCTTTGTGCCACCTCATGACGTATCACAAGAACATTCTGGTTGCCATTTGCACAGGCCAGGCAGGGAACCCTGGGGTGTTCCAAAGCCCCTTGCTTCCTGGCTGGCAGCAACATCTAAAATTTCCAGAGGCACAGTAAGATTGAAGAGCAATTCTTCTTTCCCACCACCTCCTCGAGCAGCTGAATGGACCCAGCCATGGAACCAATCACAGATTGGGCCTTCAGCGCGCTTGGATTGATCTTCAAGGCCAACAGTGTCCAAAAGGTCGAGTGGAACGCTTTGGTTCTGGAGCAAATGTCCAAGTCTTTCAGCTTGGTTTATGACCTTCTGAAGGCTGGACAAATGAACTTGGCCAAGTGTCAAGACCTCACTTGGGCCAGTGAGCACACTTACAACAAGCGTGCCAGGAAAGCAAAGAGCTTTACCTATGGACAAATGGATGTCTTGCCCACCTTGCATGACATCGGGTTTCTGGAGGCAGAGCGCCAGCCCAATACCGCGCAGCGCCAATGCGCTCAAATGCCCATGTCCATGGTCACGCATTTGGCAGATTCAAGCGGAAGGTGGGTGGTTTGCGCCGTGGATGAGATTCTGAAAGATGAGGAGGTTAAAGATGAGGAGAAAGATGAGCTCCCAAGCAAAAGCGTTGGATACAACAACAAGCCTATGGTGGGGTTATGAATGAGTAGAGCCTGTGCAGGCTATGTCGTGCATCAGCACCATGCTCAATGCTTTCCCTCTACATTCGTAGTCTACATCCATTGGTGGGACAATGCGGCAGCTCTCAATCACAGATGTCAAGCAATGTCTTGTTGGTGTCCAAGCGCGTAACAGCACATCACACAGGCAAGCAAAGCAAGGAGACCTTTGATCAAAGCGAGGTGCTCTTGCATGGAAGTGAAACTCTGCAGGGCAACACTGATATGTCAGCCAACCAAGGTCAAGACATCAAGGAGGAGGGGGAGGAGCTCCAACACAAGATTCATGACCTCAAGGCAGAGACTGACACGCTCCAAGATTACGTTGTGCGCGCGCATCTACATTAGTCGCACCTGTACCTGTATCCCTTGCTGAATACATCCATCTCTCACCTTACCCGTTGACTGATCCCTTCGAAAATGTCATGAAAGAGATTGACAAGCTCCAAGATGAGAGTCAAGACATCAAGCAACAGATTGACAAGCTGCAAGACAAGAGTCTAGACGCCACAGAAAAGAGCTCCAAGACAAGAGTCAAGCTGTTGTGGACGAGGTGGACAAGCTCCAGGACAAGAGCTGAAACATAGATGAGGAGGTCCTGACAATGTGGGCACCACCAAGCTGTTTGCTGAGTACAGTCAAGACGTCATCATGTGCATAGTTGAGAGAAAAGCCGCATGCTGAAATTTGCTTGTCTCTTCCTTGCAGTCCTTGGGGCAATCATCTGTATCTCAGTGCAAGGACCACATCTTGAGTTCATTGCTTTCAAAGTTATACATCTTCTGGTTGTCAAGGTCCAACCTCTTGTTTCTCCTCAAGACACACATGGAAAGCAAGCTTTGCGCCAACGTACGCTGTTCATCATAGCAGACAAGCAATTTCAAATATTGACTAGCGCTCATTTGATTTGTTGTGATGGGTGAGGCCATGGTATGCTATCAAGCTGATCCTCCAACAGCACATCAGCTCCAGAACTGCTCTACTTGGCATTGCTTTGGCTGGATCAGGCCTTTGGGGTTCTACTCACCTGACCCTCTAGTCAATCTGCAAAGGAGATTAGCCAGGCTAGAGACGTGAGGCATGCCGCTAGACAAGCGATCTGAAGCTCAAGGTGTGCTGTCCGCGTCAGCTCACCGCATCATCTGACCTTGCAAGTACAGCATTGGTGCAAGGACAGTTGACAAGATGTCAAGAGGGTCAGACACACAAGCGCCTGCTGTACATATCACCCAGATTTTCAAGGAGTGCATTTCTACAAGCCAGTTTCCATGCGCTTGCGGTCAAATCGAGGCGGTTAGGGAGACTTGACCAAGCTGCCAGCCGGAGAGTATCTGTCAGTCACGAAAGAGGCTAAAAGCGCTTGGGCTTCAGCAGGCCTTCCATTTTGCTCTTCACAAGACTGCTGATGGGAACACGCACTGCGTTGGATTTGTGCTTTCGGAGTGGGCTGCTTTGTGCTTGACCGGGCCCAACAAGTTTTGTTTCCTTGCTGACTTGTAGTCTGGCCTCATGTGTAGCACAGGCTCCAGCGAATGGGCAGAGGGCGCGTAGCATTTGCAAACAAACCAGCACCTACCACCAGATCCTTTCGCAGCTGCAGATTCCAAGCGCGGCAATTGGCACAGCCTTTAAAATCAGTTTTTGAAGGGATTGGTAGCCCTTGCACTTGGTAAATCTGGTGAAGATCCTCTAGCTGCATTCATGAACGGCAGCAGAGATGACAGCGGACACATCAGCCGCAGCTTGGTGCGCAAACAGCGAGCCACACTACAAGCGCAACACTGGATTGAGTGGCACACTCCGGGTGCACTGCGTATCACCAGGGTGCATGTCTTGAGCTAGAGCGCGCAGGGTGAAGGTCTATTGCGATTTTGGTGGTGATGAGGTAGCGCTTGAGAGATGATGGTACTAGAACAACTTAGGTAAATGCAAGAAGTGCGCGCAATCCCACCTGATGAGGCCTTAAAGGGGTCTTCAACCGGACATGAAGGGACAGAGAAAAAAGAGGGGAAGCGAGACAGATTGATAACCTTGGTACATTATGCCTTGATGCATGGGTCTCACCATTTCTCCATTCTCTTTGTTGATGACAAGCTGCTCCTCTGCTCTCTCCACCTTGCTCTTCTTGACTTATGCATGCTTGTTGCATGGATATGATAGATTGCAAAGATGATTGTAGTGAAGAAGAGAGAGAAGATGCCGGCCTGAAGCTGCTGCTGCCATGTTGGCCTCATTGACGCGCTAAAGCTCATCATGAGGCACATTGACAGCAGAAGGGAGTCTTATACCCAGCAGCAATGGTGCTCATTGGATGTTGCAGCTACCCTTTGGCTTGTTTGTGGCTTGCGCAAGACAACTAATGTTGTGGCCTCTGCTGCAAAGCTGGCTGTATTGCAAGGCTTGCATGTGGTGCCAACAGAGCTTCCTCATGTACCAAGGAGTTGAAAGATTTTGTAGAGGTCCTTGTAAGCTTCTTGAATGCCCTCATCCAAGTCAGGGAGGCGCCGGCACAATCCAAGAAGGCCTCGCAGACTCTTTCTCAAGAACTCCCCAAGCCAAACCTCTTGTGGGATGACAGCAGGCTTGGGACGGAACGGTTGGTGGCCCTTGTTGTAGCTCAGTTGACCTTGGGCGTGGTTGCGGTTATTCTATCCTGCATCACTTGAACACCAATGCGACGCCCGTCTCGCAGGTTAGCAACCACGTCTTTGCTGAATCACCGTCCGTCCTTCGATCCAGCTCCAGCGGTCAAGCCGGTTCAGCCTTGCAATTGCAGGCCAAACTGGACTGTGCAGCAGGCAAGTTGCACTTCAGCGCATCAACTACCACATTGCTGCCAAAGCAAACCTCATGGTCGACATTGCACCTATCTGTGACAACACTGTCCAGCTCAAGGAGAGGACAGATCTCCTCTTCAAGCCCTTCAAGGAGGAGCTTGTCCAGGCAAAGGCTGATTTTGAGGTGTGAACCTGGGTGATCACCTTGCACAACTGGCAGATAAATCACCAACAGCTAACAAAGCAGATGCCTGATGAAGCCTGGGATGCAGCCTGCAGGAACTTAGCCATGATCACCTTTACTAAGCTGTGCCTCTTTGAGATGGAGTCAGTGAGCGTGAGTGCTGCATGCATACAAGCGCCGGTGCGAATCCATGGACTTCCGCGGATCCACTCGCACGGACGCGCGCGCATTTGGTCAGCAGCGCGCGCTCAGTCACAGTCCATGCGCCGTCGTACAAGTGTGATTCTTGACCTGCGTTCCAGGCCATCCACGCTCATCAGCTTCTCCCAGCACCCCCCTCTCGCCCCACGCTATCCGATTTGCGGCTCTTCGCATCTATCGACGAAAGCTCGCTCGCTCGCTCGCTCGTCACCCCCTTATCTACACTACAAACTCAGTTCAAGCATGCGCGTAGGAATTGTGGGAAGTGGCGTGTCGGGATTATCGGCTGCTTGGGCTCTGAATGAACATTCGCAGCATCAAGTCACGCTGTTTGAAGCTGGGGAGAAGGTGGGCGGACACACCAATACGGTCTGGTTTGAGCCTGAGCCATCTGTGGGACAAGCGGGAGACAAGCAGCAGGGGTGTTGGGTCGATACGTGAGTTTCGCAACGGGCATGGCGCAGTTAGGGGGTGCGGTGCGTGCGTGAGACATCCACACTGACGCTCTAACTCGCACGCACGCACACCATTGCGTACTTGACTTTGCAATCAAAATGAATGCTAATCAAGTGGCTTCATCGTCTTCAATGAGGTGCGTGCTCACCCATCGTCATCGTCGTTGCCCGTGCCCCTCTGCTGACGCATCTCCTTCTTCTCACTTTGATCGCTTGGCAGGTGACGTATCCCAACTTTCTCCGATTCCTCAAGCATCTGGACATTGCCATTCTGCAATCCGACATGTCCTTTTCCGTCTCTCGTTCCTTTGCTCCCTCTTTGCCCTTCTTTCGCACAAACAAGAGCGATGAGCCATCAAAGTCGCAACAGCCATCTCAAAGAGGCGCTTTCGAATGGTCGGGCTCCGGTCCTGCAGCTCTTTTCTGCCAATTGGAAAATTTGCTGGACCCTTCGCATTGGAGAATGGTGTGGGACATCATCAGGTTCAATCATCAGAGTCTCGATACGCTGCGAGAAGCGCAGAACGGCAAGGCTGTGAAGGGCAACATCGGCAATTGGCTGGATCAGAGGGGCTACGGAGATGCGTTCAGGAACAATTACCTCATCGTGAGCAGCTTTGTGCGCAGAGAGCAAATGTGGACGCTGATGCTGACTGGCATGTCGTCGCTACCACGCATCACGTGCGTGCCCTTGCTCTTGGCCCCCTTCCACTCCCCTTTCTCTCTAGCCAATGACGGCTTGCATCTGGTCCACACCTCCAGGTCTAGCATTCTCTGCTTTCCCAGCTCTCACCTTGCTGCGATTCATGCACAATCACCATCTCCTCCAAATACTCGATCGGCCAGTCTGGTTGACGATCAAAGGGGGCAGCAAGAATTACGTGGACAGGATCCTTGCCAAATTGCCCGAGGCAGCTTTGAAAGTGGGAGAAGAGGGAACTGTGGTCAGCGCAAAGAGGGACGAAGGGACGGGAGAGTGGATGATAAAAACAAGGAATGGAGCGGAGCACGTGTTTGATCGAGTCGTCTTTGCGTGCCATGCTGATCAAGCCAGGGCAATATTGCAAGGAACGACGAGCAAGGCGCTCGAATCCACACTAGCTCGTTTCCACTTCAACAAGAACGTGGCAGTGCTGCACTCGGACGAGAACCTCATGCCGGTACGCAGAAGTGCTTGGTCCGCTTGGAATTTCCTGGCCGTTTCAAAGGATAAGAAATCGTTGGATGAGGACCGAGTGACTTTGACATACTGGATGAACCTGCTCCAATCTTTGCCCGAGGAGAAGCATGGACACGTGCTCGTCACGCTCAATCCTTCGCCCGACTCTCAGCCCGCACTTCAAAAAATCAAGGGCAGCTACTCGTACGAGCACCCCTTGTACACTGAACAATCCGTCGCTGCTCAAGCGCAGTTAAGAGAAATGCAAGGCGTGGGAGGTGCGTACTTTGCCGGAGCTTGGACCAACTACGGATTCCATGAAGATGGTTTCAGTTCGGGTTTCAGGGCTGCCATTGCGCTTGGAGCCAAGACGCCATTCGAAGCTAGCCCAGCGGAGAGGGAAGTCCCACCTTTCAACCTGCTCATCTACACCTTGCTCAACCTGATCGAAAAGAGTCGAGCCATATCGGCCCCGCTGTTTGCCCTCCTACTCGCACCCGCCATCATTATCCTCACCCTCGCCATCGAACATGTCGTCGGCCTTGCAAAGGTGAAGGGGGAGCGCGTGCAAAGGTTTGCGAACGTGAACAGAAATGTGCGGATGTTTTGGGAAGGCGAACTTCAAAGCAAGTGGGGCCTTTTGCGAGAGGCGAATGAGAGAAAGAAGGCCAGGTAGTGCGGCAAGGGTCAAGGCCCGCCTTCAGAAAGCCATCGAGCGCACTGATGTACACGAAATGTGCTCGTTTGTCCTTCCCATACCACTTGCTCGTGGAGTTTCGAACTCAAAAGCATTGTCAACCTTTTCGATCCCTCACCAAGTCCTCGAGTCCGAGCGACGACTGACCTTGAAGCTCGAGTCATTGTCGTGGCGTGATCTTCGCCACCAAAACGTGCCCCTCGACTGATCACCCGCGATACGGTAGGTGAGTTCCGCCACTTGAGATCAGCCGCCGGGGTCACCTCGACGGGACTGGATCGGACTGATCAAGAAGCGCCACTTTCAAAGAATGCTTGATCTTTTGAGAAACACTTGCGCAGTGCGCTGCCATTTTGATCAGATAGCCGCGCCGAATTTCTGTTTTCACTGCCCACACCCGAGCTTTCAACTCACGACTGAGCACGACCAGACGATCTTGGGACACTCGTGTTGCAGCATTCAAACTCTGAGCAATGTAGTCTGCGCATTGCGTCACCCGTCAGCTTGGCATTGTGCTTGCACAATCTTCAACTACATCGCTCGACCCTTTCAAACTACAGGACGATGGACGGACGCTTTCGACGTGTGAGCTGGCCGACCTACGAGTGGCAGATGCGAGGGCGAAATGGAGCGAGCGGGGCTGAGATTGCCCGTTGCGCCGCCTGGCTTGCCACGAAGCTCAACTCATTCTGTCTACGCGAAGTTGGGTGAAGCTCGTCGGCAGACGTCTTTCTGAAGACGCCACAGGACCGCGAAAGGAGGCAATGGCAACAATACTATACAGGGACCGCACAGCCATCAGGCTATCGATAAAAGTCGCTATGCAAACGTAAGCACCCCCCAACCACGATGGTCGTCCTCTTCTGTCTGCGAAATATCTCGCTCTGACCCATGCGCCTTCCTCATCGTGTATCTTCGATATGTCAATCATTCCCTTGGATCTTTTTATTTCCGCCGCGCTGCTACTGGCATGCACCGTGACAGCTAGCCCGCTAGGTGAGCGACATCATCGAGGTGCTCTGACATTTGTCGAGCGCAGAGCAAACTCACGTCTCGCGCTTCTTTTGGATCGTCTGCATTAGGTATGTCTTCACCACAAAGCGATGCACATTATTTGGAGCGCCGTTTGGGCGGTCTGCCAGAAGCTGCGAGCGAAGCGAAGCTTGTCAAGACTGCTCTCGACCGGCAAGCAGTCACGCTGCAATCCGACTCCACGAGTCCTAGTAAGGAAAATTCTTCGGTCGCATCCAACGTGGACAAGCTGCGCAGAGCACCTTTGGAGCGCTCGGACAGACCCATCTCTCACCGGACCAAGTGGCAGAGTCTGCGAAGACAAAAGAATGACTTGGAAAAGACCTCCGGTCGAAATTTACCCTTGAGCCCGCACGAGTGGCGCGAGTTGCGGGCAGGTACCCACGCGCATGCCGATCAGTCAGACTCGGGCGTTCACGATACCGCCACTCTTCCAAGCATCAACAAACGTGGCTTTTCCTTATTTGCTCCCACTTCCCGCACAGCAGCATTGAAGCAGCGCTTCTCCAAGCCTCGAAACGGCGTATGGCGCGGCATCAATAGTCTCAAGACTCTGAGCACCGGCACGGTCGGCACGATCATTCGCTCCATCAAGAGTGTTCAGGCTTCAGCTGGAGCGCAAGTCAGTACGGGATTAAAGGTCACTCGTCAACCGTGGAGATTGCCTAGGATCAGGATGAAGTTGAGATTGAAGCTCAATCTCAAAGTTGGGGCTAAAGCTTCGATGAAGGACATGCTGCCTTGACTACAGAGTGGAAGTGATGCGGGTGCGAAATACGCCATTCAAGATCTCGGAGGCGCGGTGTCAGCAGGACCTGCAAAGGCGCTCGTCTGACAATGTGCAGAGTGCAAAATGTCACACCCTTTGTCCGAAAAGGCTCGGTGGCGAATCTCACCTGTGCGTGTCCAATCTGTCGATGCAGAGGGCATTCGAAATTGGTTTGACATTCGCAGTCATAAAGAGTGAGGGCTGGTAGGGTTGTCGTTGACCTTGGCGTCCGAGAAGCAATGGAACCGACGCCTCGAGCGTCGTACGTAAAAGGAAAAGTGTTGACACGAAGGCAAGCGCTCGGTCGAAGTGATACAATCGCAATCCAAGCGTGATAGCTCTGCCATGCCAATGTTTGACTCGACGCCAACACGAACGTTGCCACTGATGTGATTGCGACAAGTAGCCTGCAAGGCTTCTTCTCCTTTTAACAGGAGAAGTTCCCCTCTCACACTCCGACTCATTCAGCACAAATCGTTCAGATGCCAGCGCGCCTCTTGTCTGACTGATGGCAAATTTCCTCGCATGCAAAGAACGGCAACCGCGTCGCTTCTCCTTTGAACTCATCGCTCGCGTCTGCCGCAGCAGGACGATTGGAACGCTTTTTTGCATCTGCGAACGGGGCGTCTCGATGGCGCTTGCTATGCCAATCCGCCTATTCTGCCTATGTGTCATTGCGATGACGCCTCTGGCCGGCAATGCGCAACGTGAGTTCCTCGTGATGGGCGCGCGCTGTACCATCCCTTCCAGCTCACTTTTTATTTATTTTTTTCTTCCAAACTCAGCTTTGAGCAGGCTACATGCACGAACAGCGCAATCATCGGAAAGGATGCTGCAGCAGAGCATGCACAACTCCCCCAACTCCTCGACCACGTCCGCTCCTCGTGCAATCGAGTCGTCATCGTTGGCGCACCACGCGAGCGACTTGGAAAAGGAAAAAGGGAGCAGCAGCAGCAGCAGCAGCAGCAGCAAGCTACATCTGTTTTGGCTCAAGCAGCATGTGCTGGATCAGCTAGCTTTGTCGAGCCTTCGGCGCAAAGAAGGAGCAGCAGAGGTGCTCAGCATACGCACCAAAAAGCCCGCTTCCACAAGTCGTAGAAGACCGCATCGTCTCAGACGAGCTGGCAAGGCACAAAGTTTTGCAACGCTCACCCCTACCCACAACCCCTCGTCATTGCAAGAAGCAGGCAGCCGCCCACAGACGCACAAGGCGGCCGTTTTAGATACCGAGCTGGAGCAACACATTCTCGACACGTCCAAACGTCTTCTCCTCCCTGCGCGCTTTCCCTCCAAGCTGGTTGATTGAGAATCAGTTCACGAGATCCTACTTTGTGAGCAATGAGTCGGCATGTTGCCATTGCTACCATACATCGCGGCAAGACAAGAGCCCAGCCTGAATGATTGTGCTGCAAACACAAACGAACCCTCTTTGCCCGCTTCGTTCAACTGGCTAGCCTCCTCCTCACATCTCTCAACTTTCTCTCCCCGTCTATCAACCTCTTTCTGTACTCCTCCAGCTCCCTGACCGCGCAGATACGCGCCAAGTCCAACCTCTGCGCCTCGTTGTTGATAGCTTCGGTGCTGAGCGCATCGAACAGCGCTCCGGAGGGCGCATGCAGCGGATGAGGCGGCAGAGGGAGTACTTTTCTAGTGTGGGACTCGGAGGAGGAGGCATTGGCTTGATCGCTGGTCGGGTCGCCGCTAGCTGCTTCGCCAAGGACTAATGCGCCATCCGCAACGCTCGTAGGAGCTCCGTCAAGCGGGACAAAGTGTCGACTGACGTCAGAGGCGAGACCTGTGCCGACGCCGGCAGAGAGATCCGGAGGTATGTTGGAAAGCAGAGATTGATAGGAACGATAAGCGGTCGGATCTGAGAATGCTTGCGCAGAGGTGGGAAATAAGCTGCCAAGGGTAGCGCCAAGTCAGCCTTGAGGCCACGCTGACGCGGGAGATGATGCGCGATTTGGAAGTGTACGCTCGTTTTCCGCTCACCTGCTCTGTGGCCTCTTGATGAGGATATCGTAGAAGATTTCGGTGGGTTCTGGAAAGACGATCTCATCGTATTGCCAGCTGTGCACGACGGGGGGCAGCAGGGGCGGTGCTGCAGGGTTTTCGGTGTGCGCATGTGTTGCGGCCGTGGCAGAAGAGGTAGAAGTGTCTCCCGGCTGCTGCGTGGCCTCTTGCGCCTCCTTTTCATCCTCTGCAGCATCCCCAGCATTCCCAGCATTCCCAGCATTCCCAGCATCCCCTGCATCCGCTGCATTCCCAGCATGCCCCGCATCCCCCTCTCCGCGGTCCGAATCGCCATCGACTGTATGATCCGCCTCTGTCACTGTGACCGGCTTCTCGATGGGATGCCATGGATGCAGCTTGAGCCGATGATATGTGGTCAATGGCTTCTCATTGGCTTCGGGAACAAAGACGATTCGGATCTGAATGTCGAATTCACCCCAACCCGTCTCTGTCACTTGAAAAGGCGGCTTGTCCACCGCTGGGAGGGATGAATGCGAGGGACAAGTCGATCAGCTCGGCTGGCCATACGCTCATCTCACACCTCGGGCCGCCCCGCGCAACCCACTCACTTCTTGAAGCGCCGGCATACGTCTCGTGCAGTTTGAAAGTGACTTTTTTGACAAAGTGGGAAATGTCATCCTTGCCACCCACCATGCGATGGTAATCATGATTTTGCGATTCAGCAGCTTCTCTGGCTCGAGTGGACACGGTGTTGGCCAAAGTGCTAGGGCCAGGCGTTTGGGAGGGTGTTGCGAGTGGCGTGGCTGTGCCTGTAGGCGTTCCCACTTGACCCTGAGCCTGAGCCTGAGCGTGCGGTGCCGATGCAGCGTTGCCATCGCCTGAAGCAGCGGTGGAGAGATCCACGCTTGCTCTGACGCTCCTTGATCTGCCGTGATGGGTAGTGGATGCGGATGCGGTCGCGGATGTACCAGCGTCTCCACCACCACCACCAGCAAAAGGGACGACGCTTGGTAAGGGCCAACTGGCGGCTGAGCGAACGGCGACGGTCCATCGATGCGTGTGATCAGGCGGTGCGCTCATCTTCTCCAACGCGGTGAGGGGAGTGGAGGTGCTGCCGATGAGGATGGATCGATGGATGGCCAGTCCCTGTGGGGGCGCGCACAAAGTGTCAGGTTTGCGCTGTGCAAAAGTGCGCAGGGGGGGTAATGGCAGAAGGAACTCACGCGTTGCCGCTTGGTGCCAGCAGCAGCGTTTGACATGTTGTGTCTAAATGAAGTGCGATGATGCCTTGTGGAGCCGATGGATTGCAGGAGACGATGTGTATGCAGGCATGAAGCGTATGCAGTTGAGTGAGACGAGTTGCG